AAAAATCGACCAGAATGTCCGAAAAATCTGCGATTTTTTTCAGTCAAAAAAATGAACCTGATTCTCAACAACACGACCATAATCTGGCTACCAATGTTCGTTCTGAATGAAGCCGGCAAAAAAACGACTATCCAACCGTTCAGTATTATATGATGGCTGGGGAAGCTCTAGTCGACATCATTTCCATATTTTGCACCTGTGTCATGATGAAGATCATTTTTTGCATTCGTCCGTTTCACGTCAACATGACTCACATCTACTTTTGGTTCATGCTCCAATATTTTCAATGTCCACTGGCTCGTTGGCTTCTTTTGCCTTATGAGCAAGGCTGGGTCCGAGTTACTGGTGAGTTCTTTCATTATTTATTCATTTTGATCGTTCAAAAATCCTTTTTTGGGTTCAGACACTGAAGAAGCAAGTACTTTGACAGATTATTCGGTCCAACAATAATTAATTTTTTGATTTCGCATGATTTGAGCTCGAATCAGAAAGGGTGTTAAGAAAAAAAGGGAAGAAAAAAAGCCGCCATGGGAGATTATACGCTTCACTGATGATATAACTTCGGAAAAAAATTTCTTCTTACTCGATATATTTATTGGAACGAAGGGGAAATAAAATAAATTTTAACTCTAATTCACAAAAAAATGAGAACATCTTTGAACTAAAAACCTTGGAAGCTTTGAATTAGAAAAACCTTGATTTTTTTAACCTTTTTCAATTATCTTCAATTAAAAAGAATCCGTGAAAAAAATCACTTCTGTAAAAATAGCCGCTTTCAAGAAAGATTTTGCGCTCCATGGATAAATGAGGCATTTTATTCTTTGAAAAAAAAGCCGTCTTTGGAAGAGATTTTGCGCTCCATGAATAAGTGAGCCATTTTGGTCTTCAAAAAATATAGCCGTCTTCAGAAGAGATAATGTGCTCCATCGATAAATGAGGCATTTTGGTGTTAAAAAAATAGCCGCTTTTGGAAGAGATTGTGCGCTCTATGGATAAATGAGGCATTTTGGTGTTAAAAAATAGCCGCCTTTGGAAGAGATTGTGCGCTCCATGGATAAATGAGGTATTTTAATCTTTCATAGCCTACTTTGAAAGAGATTATGCGCTCTACCGATAAACGAGGCTGTTGTTCTTCGAAAATAGCCGCCTTTAGGAGAGATAATGTGCCCCATGGATAAGTGAGGCATTTTCATTTCAAAAAAAAAAAAAAACATAAATAGCCGCCTTTGGAAGAGATTGTGCGCTCCATGGATAAATGAGGTATTTTAATTTTTTTCATAGCCGTCTTTGAAAGAGATTATGCGCTCTACCGATAAAAGAGGCATTATAGTCTTCAGCCGAATTTGATTGAGATAATGCGCTCCATGGATAAGTGAGGCATATTTAAAAAAAAACAGCCGCCTTTGGAAGAGATAATGCGCTCCATGGATAAGTGAAGCATTTGGTTCTTTAATTTTACCTATTTTTGCCATTAATACCGACTTCTGTCAAATAGTCAGAAAAAACAGCCTCGAAAAGCAAAGAATATACGCTCCATCGAGAATTCGAGTATTTATATTTTCTGAAGATTTTCCTTCTCATAATCTTCGCTTGAAACTTGGGATTCCATAAATTGAACCTCGAAATTTTCAAAAAACAGTCATAAATACCCATTTTTCCTACTCAACTTTTGCTTCAAAATATCCTTTTCCAGTCCTGGACAAAAGGTACGCCTCGTGGTACACGGAAGACGTGAGAGAAATGCCACACGCCGAATTCGTCTGGACTTGTTTCCCACTGATTTTGGGTGGCTTCTTCCGATTCGCCTACATTGTTTCGGTTGTTCATTTTATCTGCATTTTCGCACTTGAGCGAACGGCTGCATCTTATTTTCTGAGGTAAGCGGATTTCAGCTGTTTTCTAAGGTCATTTGCAGCCGGTCTGAGTTATTAATTAAGGGCACATGGGCGGAAAAATGATGATATTTCAGGACAAATAAATGTCATTTTTGAGAGGTTTTCATGGAAATTTCAAAAAGTCTTGGGGTCTTGAAAAGAAAAATTAGGCCCCAAAATAATAATTTTGTGGAAAGAGACATTTTTTAGAGCTTTCCGTGAGAGTAAAAGTACAAAATTTCAAATTTCGGAGAATTTTTGGAAGATACAAACTGAGAAAAAAGCAAAAGTACGTTAAATGGCTCATTATGGACCTTGCGCCCGACTAGAAACGACTTGCTCATACCAAAAATGCCAATCTTTCGAATATTTTGCAGACATAGAGAGAAAATAGGTGGCTGAAGAGATGCCAGAGAAGTTAGAAACCTCTCTTTCTCTGGCGTCTCTTCAGGTCGCTGTATATCTCTTAAAAGTTCAAAAAAGCGAGATCAAGAGAGTATAAAAAAGTCAGAAGGTCTCTCTTTCTCTGGCGTCTCTTCAGATCGCTTTATTTCTCAAAAGTGCGAAAAATCGGAATGAAGAGAGTTCAGAGAAGCTAGAAGATCTCTCTTTCTCTGCCGTCTCTTCAGGTCGCCGTTGTTCTCTCAAAAATCCGAAAAAGCGAGATGAAGAGAGTATAGAGAAGTTAGAATGTCTCTCTTTCTCTGGCGTCTCTCCAAGTCGCTTGATCTCTCGAAAAAGCGAGGTGAAGAGACGCCAGAGAAGCTAGAAAGTCTCTATTTCTCTGGCGTCTCTTCAGATCGCTTGATCTCTCAAAA